CAAAAGCAAAAAGAGCTAGTACTAGTATTAGTGCTGAGGTGATGACTCAGCTTTCTCAGTGCTGAAGGTGAGGTCACCAGCCTAGAAGGGACAGGGTGAAAATGAGGGCTTGACCCTAATACAGCAGCCAATAGCCTTTCTTGGATCCCTCTGGCCTGGTCACTCCCCTGCCAAAACCCTTCCTAGATGTCCCATGCCTTCAGGACAGAGTCCAAATGTCTTACAGGCTTACAAGGTGTTATGACCCTGCGCCATTTACCTCTCCAGACTAAAGGCGTATCACCACCCTATCGCCATGACTCCCTGCCTCCCTCCCCAGCTCCACCTACAGTGATCTTAAATTGTGCTTTCTTTGCCTCCCTGGAACTTTGTATCAGCTGTGTCCCCTGGCTGAATTGGGCTTTCTTTTCTTCTTCTTCACCTAGTTTCCAGGCCTCATCTTTCAGGTTAATTTAGCATTACTGCTTCCAGGAAGTCTTCCTGACTTCCATGCCTAGGTTATGGGCCTCCCCAGGTGTTCCCATTGCACTCTGTACTTTCTTCACTGCAGCACTTGCTTCAAGTCTACTTCCCAGTATTCATGACCTTGTGTTTTCTCCTCCCACACTGATTATGGGCTGACCCTATGAGTTGCTTTAACCAACAGAGTGCAGAAGTGATGCGATGCCAGTTCCTGCTAGCTTCCACTTGTGTACTTTTGGAAGCTCTGAGCCACTGTGTAAGAAGTTCAGCGACCCAGCTGGAGAGGTTATGTGGAGCAGAGGGGACCTGAGACTACATGGAGAAAGAGGCCCAGCCTTTCCAATGCCCTACTTGAGTCTTCATATGACTGCCATCTGACTGCAGCCTCATGAGAGACCCCAAGTGAGATCAGAACTGCCCAGCTGAGCCCAGTCAATTTGCAGAACTGTGAGAGATAATGATTGTTTTAAGCCACTAAATTTTGGGGTGTTCGTTATGCTGCAATAAGTAACTAAAACACCACTCTGTATTTTAATTGCCTACTGACTTTGTTTGCACTCCTAGGCTATTTTCTGTGAGGGCAGGGACCACATCTAGTTTTTTGGGTTTTTTTTTCCCTCAAGACAGAGTCTTGTTCTGTCACCCAGGCTGGAGTGCAATGGTGCGATCTTGGCTCACTGCAACCTCCGCCTCCTCGGTTCAAGTGATTCTCCTGCCTCAGCCTCCCAAGTAGCTGGGATTACAGATGTGCGCCACCACACCGGCTAATTTTTTGTACTTTTTTTAGTAGAGATGGGGTTTCACCATGTTGGCCAGGCTGGTCTTGAACTCCTGGCCTTGTGAACCACCCACCTCAGCCTCCCAAAGTGCTGGGATTACAGGTGTGAGGCACTGCGCCTGGCCCACATCCATGTTTTAAAATTGTTACATACTTAGCATATCCTTTAGCACTAAATAAGCTATCATATATTTGATTAATGCAAATTAAGAATGCCTACAAAAATGAAGGCAACAAGTATCTAGAATACTCACTGTAGTGAGTGTACACAAAGTACACAATGGCATGTGTAGTAATCATGAAAGGTGATTAACTGGACAGCAGGCAATAGGTTCCCAATGTCAGACAGTTTACCTTTGTGGAGGGATTGAGTCAACTTGAGGGACTGTGCAGAGGGACTGAGCCACAATCCAAAACCACAGAGTTTGGGGTCTGGCAGTTGAGGGAGCTGCCATTCAACCAACAGCACTCCCATGGGCTGTACTGAACAGGTGGTCTGCTGTGGGCTCCAGCCACCCTCGCCATCTACCCTCACTCAAGTGGTCTGCTGATGTTCCTGTTTATGGTGACAAGAGATGCCATAATGCCGTTCTATACATGGGGACAGATGTCCTAGTCTCTCCTTCAAAACTTTTCTACTAGCTTCAAACAGGGAGGGCCCTCAACTAATGTTTTTATGTGCAATGAATACATTTCTACTCATATCAGTAAATCCCCTGGCAGGGGTCTGGTACCCTTGGCTGTAATAATCATTAGTACAAGGTGTTCTGTCAACAGGCATTGTTTGGACATATTCTTTGGGCTGACAATTTACGTCAAGCCCTATGTGGGACACGGAAGAGGAAAATGCCATTCCTGCCCTGAAAGGAGAGAATTGGGAAGGCTAGAGTTACACAAATGAGATAAATACCAAGACAGCATATAATTATTTCTAAACTGTGTAGTAAGAAATTAAGTGCTATTTAGGAATTGGGAAAAGTAGGGAGCAGGGAGGGCTCAAACAGTTGAGGATTCTACACTGAAGAGCTGGGATTGGGCTGAGCCTTGAGAAATGACACAAACTATGCATAATCTGAAAGGAAGGAGGGTACAAAAGACTCAGAAGGAAGAACACAGCCGAACCAGCATACTTGTTTGTTACTTTATTTTGAAGACAGTAACACAAGGAATGTGAAAGGTAGCCGTTCCAAATCCTGAAGCAAGGCTATTTCTGAATAGTTGCCCAACATTCAAACTTCTGGGCCTTTATTTATTGTTTCCTCTGCTTGCAATGCCTTTCTTCCTTCTCCACCTGGCAAGCTCTTATCAATATTTAAAGGCCCCGCTCAAATGTAACTACTTTTCTGAAGCCTTCCAAGGCATCCCACAACCCACTGCTTATGCTTCTATGGGAACATAATCTATTATACTTGCCTACTTACCTCCCCTACTACTATAATTAATAGCAACTTACACTTACTGGGCTTTTACTGTATGCTAGGAACTATGCTAAACATTTTTATTTATTTTTTATTTTTTGAAGGGTATTCCTGAAACACCAAGCTAAACATTTTTTAACGTAATATTTTATTTATACCTCACAACAATTGCCATGAGGTATTATTTTCCCTATTTTATGGATGAAGCTCTTGAGACTTAGTGTGGTTAAGGAACATGGATAACATAGCTATGAAGTAAGCAAATTGTGATTCCAACCTAGATTTGTGGGACTCCAAAGCCCACTACTAATCCACTGGACCGAGTTCCTGGAGGCCACAAATGCTCTTTCCTCATCTGTCTTCTCACATCCTAGGACGGGCTGATACATGGTTCCAAAGTTGTTTAACGGCCAGGCGCGGTGGCTCAAGCCTGTAATCCAAGCACTTTGGGAGGCCGAGGCGGAAGGATCACCTGAGGTCCAGGAGTTCAAAACCAGCCTGGCCAACATGGTGAAACCCTGTCTCTGTTAAAAATACAAAAACTAGCAGGATGTGGTAGCGGGCGCCTGTAATCTCAGCTACTTGGGAGGCTGAGGCAAGAGAATCGCTTGAACCTGGGAGGCGGAGGTTGCAGTGAGCCGAGATCACACTATTGCACTCCAGCCTG